TTTTTATTTATTTAGCAATATAAGAAAACCTAATTTTAGATTTAGGAGTAATGACATATGGCATAAACAGGAAATTCAGTTTTCACCGTTATAATGACAAACAAACTGAGATACGTTACAATGACAAACAAACTGCTTACGTTGCACTTTAAAACACCTATTTGTATCGTAATTTAATCAAGTTTTTATTTGCTGCAAGTATTTATTTATTCCTCAAAAGAGTTTTTAATTATATCTAGAGTTGTTTGTTGCTTGGCCTTAATTAAATCACTTATATTGAGTGACAACTTTATGGTAACCATTGCACAAGAATGCATTTGAGTATTTTTTATAATTTATTACTTTATTAAATATTAAAATCTTTTCAAACTCAAAAATTTTTTGCTACTTGTTGTTCTTTTAGAATTGACTCGAAAATGACTTGAAATGAAAAAGAAAGGAAAGACTGTATTTTTGTGTAGTTGGGTTTATTTATTTATTTTTTGCGAAACCAATATATATTACTCAAAAATAAATTTTTATGTATATCTATATTGTAAATGTATATAGAAATATGTAACATATTATTATGTGCTTATTTATACTTTATCAAAATAGTTAATAATTTTTTTTAAATTTTTTATTTACTAATTTATTATTTATTCGTGTAGGGGAAGTTGGGGGCACATTGGATCGGATTTCTTTATTTTTTAAATTGAGTAAAAGTTAAAATATGTATTTCATTTTTTTTGAGGCGAAGTGATTGATATATAGGTCCTTCATTATAAAAATCACTAAAACCAAATATTTACTATCAAACGGCTCACATCATGATTTAAAGTTAGTTATATTGCGTTATTCACTGTGCCCAGTACTGGGGCGCAATGAATCAATGGACACAGCTGTGAATTAATGACAGTGAATAGGGACATAGCCAAATAACTATGAGGCTGAGGGAGTAAAGACACTGTACACGATACTTTTGACATACTTTTATTAATTAGATTAGTATAAAATCCAAAAAAAATAAACATTTTGAAATCTGAGAAGAAAAAAAAAGAATTTTATTGATAACAAAACTTATGAAAATATTAAAAAACTATTCAAATATTCAGAACTTAAAACTAATAGATTGATTTTCATGTAGTTTGTTTGTTAAAAATACATGATTTTAATCTTAAAGATCATTAATGGGGCATAGTGTATCAACCTATTCACTGTATACCGATTCACTGTAACCCACCATAGCAAATTAAGTTTAAGTCTAAATTTTTGGGACACGAGTGTTGTTAAAAAAAAAAGCTAAAATACTAAAAGGAAGGATAAATATCAATAATCTGAATGAAAAACTTCGAATAATAAAATTAATTCAACCATGGTCTCCGTAACAAACATAAGGAAGGTGAAAAAACTTACTTTAGTTAGTTAAAAACAAAAATTACCTAGCAAAAACCTGTAGTCAAAAATTATGTGTTAAAAACTATAAATAAAGATGGTTACTTTATCAAGATAAACAAAAATCTAATCTTTGAGAAAATGTCTCTTATTCACTGTGCCCCTCGATCCACTGTACCCCAACTTCCCCTATTTGCCGTTAAAAAGAAATGTGAATCACGGAAAATCATATATTTTTAATGTTAATTAAAGAAAATTTGTCTTTAGATAATATTTTTGATAACATACAATCTATTTTAAATCTAAAATATTTGCTAGAAATAAATTTTTTAAACTTTCATATGAACGGAATATGAACTATTATTATTTTAGCGAAATATCTCATAAGTATCCAACAAAGTTTTCAGAGGACAACTTTATTGTTCCGAGAATAAATTTAAAAATAAGTTCTTATCAAATTAAATATCGAGGACCTTTTTTATGGAAAAATTTTATTAAAAACTTTAATAAAGAACACTACTCTTTAGAAAAATTTAAAGCAGTTTCTAAAAGAATCTTACTTCAATTAGATTTTAATTCAATAGACTTTAAGTATTTTTTTTAAAAGGAAATTTTAAAATAGAAACAAACGCTCCCATTATCATTAAATATATTTTGTTATATGTATCAAATATATTTGTATTAGTATACAAAACTTTCTTTACTTTTAAATTTTAATATAAATGTCATTTTATTATTTGACAAAAGTTATGTACTCTTTAACGTTTTTTTGTATATTTTATTTATATTTGTTTATAAACACGGGCAATTTGTAAACGGGGCTCGGCGATAAGACAGTCATTGTCTTCTTCTTGCTCCGGCCAATTTTTATAAATGTAATATGTCTATATTGTAAATATATGAAACGGCAAAAAAAAAAAAAAAAGAACATTCCTTTTATTTAAGGAAACTATCCGGCAGTTGACAAAACCTCCTGCTGCTTCACGGAAAAAACCCATTATGTTTTAACGAAAACATCCGTATATTTACGGCAACTTTCATTTACATGCGATGGGTTTTTCCGTAAAATAACAAGAAAGGTTATGATAATAAAACTATAACTTAAAACTTCACCTGTGTGTGAAGTTTTAAGTTATAGTTTTATTAGATTTTTGTATAATAAAATCAGTTCTTTTCTTTTTGCATCACAAATTTTTTTTTTGATTCACAAATTTTTTTTGCATTTTAGTAAGGGAGATCCTAAAAGATAATGAGGAGGGGGAAGGGGCTGACATGTCTATGTTTTGCCAAGTAAGGCCTAGAAATTTTTTTTTTGCTAATAAAGATTTAAATAAAAATGACGTTGTTAGCATTTGCTAACTGCCAACTATAGAGCCAAATTTGCCGACTAATAAATTTTCTTGTGAGGTTAGACATCCCAACACCCCCCCCCCCTTCCCCTTAAGACGCTTCTAATTTTTGTTGATAATTTTTAATTACACTCCAAAATAGCGTAACAATGTGTTCTAAAAATAGAATTTTTTTCAGAAACGTAAGGCATTTTGGGATTGATAATCGGACAAACATTTAACAGAAACCTAAGAATTTCTTAAAAACGCTAGTGGTTGTTGGATTGATGTTCGGACAAATAAACAACTTGACGTCACCAAAATGTACGCTATTAATTGAGTAATATTAGCAACCTAAAAAGTTGATTAGTTATATTTAGTCTAAAGTATTAGTAAAGTTATTTTTTAAAACTTTTTTCTTTAACTTAAGCAAATTAAAATGTTCTAACTAAAAAAATGAAAACTAACCTTATCTCTTTTTTGTGTGTTTGGTGCTCTAAGAAGTCCAAACGGTCATTTAACTAAGGAGTTCTCGCCTCCATTCACACTAATGTAGTAAATGTGGCAAGAAATGGCATCAAACATCGGACCTCTTGACTCCGAGGCAACCGTGCAATGTAGCCGTGACCTATGAGTTATGGTACTCATCTCAAATCGCTATTAATTTTTTCCGTTTGACAAAAATTATAAAATTTCAACTAATTAATCTTTTAAACTAGTAAATTTTTTAATAATGTTTGTGTGTTTAATTATATATGTTAAAACATCATTTTGTTTATTATTTTTTTAATTTAATTTAATTTTTTTTTTGCAATTTCAAAAAACTGGTTATATTAAAAATGTTACTCTAGTTACGACAGAGTTCGAAATAAGTTTTTACTTTCAGAATTTTTTATATAACAGTGAGTTATTATGGACTGAAATACCAAATAGTCAAAGTATATACAAACAAAACATGGTGTTCTTTAAGGTTTATTTTTGATCTGTATTCTTAATTATGTTAGCGATTTATTCCTCCTTTAAAATCGATTTTAAAATATTTATTTACATCGCAATTCCTTTGAAAAATATTAATAATAAAATAATAGCTTGATACCACCAGCTCACCCATAATAATGAAATTTAGTTATTTGATTTTTATTCAAAAAATTTTTTTTCAAAGAGCCCTTTGGGATAAACATAAGAACCACAAGGCAACTTATATAAACTTTTTAAAGGTTTATTCATGTTGACATTATCACAATAATGTTGAACGTTAATATACTCAGAGCCGTGGCTAGGCTATCCCCACACACCCCAACTGGGGAGGGTCCAGCATATTTAGAAATCCATTTGTAGGAGCAACTTAATAACCACAAAAAAAAAAAAAAAAAAAAAAAAAAAAAAAACTAGCCACGGCACTAATTATACCATTGGCAAATACGTGTACGCTTAAAAGTTATTAGCGTTTTAAAAACATCAAGCATACATAACCATAATTAAAATAGGGAGGCACAATCGCCAATTTTCTATAAAAAGACCCTTTATATCTTGAATTTCTAAAAAACAAACAAACAACCTAATCCATATTCTCAAAGTTGCATGGACAAAAAGTTACTGAGGCAACAATATTTTAAATCTCCTTATATAATCATTATGTTAAGAGTTTTAAAATATGGTAACTTTAGTAGTTTTGAGTTTTTACAACTTTGTAGTCATAGATCCAGGTTTTCAATTATTTTCATTTAAAAAAAAATCTTATAGTATAGAACAAATGTACATATATGTGATATGTTTTTATTATTTATAAGTGTTCATAAAAATTTATTTGTGTTTTGACTAAGTACTGGTGAGGGCTCAATAAACTAGACAAGTGTTCTTTTTTTTTCTATTTCCTAAGATCGCTTTCAGTCTAAAACCTTAACTATCTGAGACCCAATACAAATTATTTCCTAACTACAGTTTGTTGTAGCAACAATATCTTTTGCAAGTCCTGGCAACATTTATAGGATTATTTTACTTTAAATAAGTTTTACTAAACTATTCGAGTTAATCCAGAGATAAATTTGTTAGAGTTAATCCCGGACAAACAAAAAATTACTCGCTCTTTTCACAGCAAGCGAATATCCGCCAACATAAAAAAAACTTATTTGCCATGATCGTTTAGGATGATTATAAATTTTCATAGCATGAAAACTTTAGCTAATAAAAAATCAATTTGTTATTGTATATCATACAAGTACAAATTAAAAAATGCTTGAAAATAAAATTATAGTCTCAACTTTTTTTGTTAATCTTAGTATATAAATAGTTAATACT